TTTTTAATTTATTTTTTTACTTTATTAATCCCCGAGGGGAAATTCAATTTTTCACTCTGTTTGTAAATTACACACAGGTCCGAACACACACATGCACAAACTGGACCTATACATGCACTAAATGGAGAGATGTCAGAGTGGGCTGCCCATGACAGGTGCTCTGAGCGGTTGGGGGGTTTGGTGCCTTGCTCAGGGGCACCTCGGCAGTGCCCAGGAGGTGAACTGGCACCTCTGCAGCTACCAGTCCACACTCCATGTTTTGGTCCGGACGGGGACTTGAACAGGCGACCCTCCGGTTCCCAACCCAAGTCCCTATGGACTGAGCTACTGCCGCCCCAAACTGCCCTCCAGTTCTTTTCAGTAATGACTAGGCTGCATTTACTTTTGGTACTGATGCTAATTCTTTAATTTGAGAGACATTTTGAATGCAGGACTTTTACTTTTAAGAGATTATTTTGACTGTAGTGGTATTACTGCTTCCTACTCCATTCCTTCCTTCATTTCTTTCCTTCCTGCACATCTAGTGCTCCTTACTCTATTCCTTCCTTCCTTCCTTCCTTCCTTATGTCTTTACTGTCCATCCAATTCTCTGTACTCCATTTCTATCTTTCCTCTTTTCCCTTCCTCTACATGAGATGAACAATGGTGTTACCATTCTTGCAATCATTTATTGATGGGACGGATTAAGGGAAGACACAAATAAGCTGTACAGCTTCAGCTTTTTCCTTTTCAATCTACAGTATTTATTAAAAAAAAAGAAGAGTATAAGTATGATGTGTACTATAATGCAAAGATAATATGCAAATATTGTAATGTGCAATGATTGAAAAAAACCCCCCAAAAAAAACAAAGTGCACTTCACAGCATATTGTATGAACCTACTGATGATGTGTTTAAATATTTGTTATCTGTATTCTCCATCAGTGCTGCTCAGAGTCAAACAACACTGGAGTCCAAACTGGAGGCCCTGCAGTGCCACTTCACCTGGGATCTGGACCCCAGCAGGTCCAAACTTCTCCGCCTCAGGGACAAGCTGGAGGACATCGGCACCGAGGAGGGAAACAGCTGGCTGGGTCACATTTACAACCTGCGTGGGTTCATTCAGTATGACCTGGGGTTTAAAGAAGACGCCCAGCGTTTGTTCAGCAAGGCTGCAGAGGCCTTCCGCCAGATGAGAAAAGCAGATGAAGGTCCCTGGTTAGTGGTGAACTATGGGAACCTGGCATGGCTGCACCACCACGTGGGAGAACAAGCAGAGAGTCAGGCTTAACTGTCAAAGGTCGATGCCCTGATCAATAAATACCCATCTCCATCCCAGGATGAGCTCCATCCAGAGATCTGTGCTGAAAAAGCCTGGACCCTGATGAAGTTCAGTGCAGAACAAAAGCAGCTGGCTGCAGATTACTTTGAGAATGCCATCAGGATGCAGCCAGGCATGGTGGAGTGGAACACCAGCCATGTCTTAGGGTTAGTGGGTGCTTTCAAGCACAGTGAAACAGGGCTGGAGGCTGACATCTTGGAGAAGATGCGACTGGCCAAGGAGCAGGATCCAGAGAACTTGTACCTCGCTGTTCACTACCTTGAGCACTGTGCTAAGAAAGGAGACAGAATTGAAGATGAAGCACGTGAGTTGGCCATAAGGGTTTTGAGAAATCCTGTCAGCAGCTACAGCGGTATAAAGGGGTTATTACGAGTTTACAGACACTATGTATCTATTGATGAGGCCATTGATTTGGCAGTGGAGGCTCTGGAAAACCATCCAGATGAGCGTTATCTGAAGAGATGTGCTGCACTCTGCTACAAATGGAAGATCCTTTTCTTCAGGGACAGTCGCCCAAAGCAAAGCATGATAAACAGAGCAATCAGTCTCCTTAAGGACGTGATTTCTCTTTACCCTCATTCTTCACTCGTGAAGAAAATAGACCTTGCAAATATATACGCAAAGTCAAATTACGGCCAGGCTCAAGCTGAGCAGATATACAATGAACTGCTACTAAGTGATCTTGAACCTGTGGACAAACAGATGATTTACAACCACTACGCAAAATACTTAAACTTTGAAAGACAGGATCGTAACGGGTCAGTAAGATATCACATGAAGGCAGCAGCGATACCGCAACAATCCTACTTTCGTGGGAACAGCATCCAAGCTCTGGAGAGGATTAGAGACAGAGGCAGGAACCGCATGTGTAGAGAAATAGAGGAGTTTCTGGCAAACCTGCAAGAGCCATAGTGTTTACAGCACTGGTTTTAATGGGAATTGCATCACCAAAATGATCTGTACATACTGATTAATTTGATTGCACATTAGGAAAAACAACAGGAAAGACTTGTAGAAGTTGTAGAAATAATTACTTCTTAAAATAAAGTTAAAATTGGTATGAGAAGCTGAGAGTGAAGACCCGCTGATGGCAGCATGGCATGAATTAAAATTTTGCCCATTAAATGCAAATTAGAGCAGATATACTTAATGCCTGCTAATCCTCTGACAGTGAGTCTATTGAAACAAATGGATTTCACCATTATAAATGTGAGCATGCTTATGCCTCAAATTAGTCAGTAGGGTCTATGCTAAAAGTGCTTGTCAAATAATTAGTTAGGATTAGTAACGTGCACCACAAAAGATGATTAGCACACAAAAGATGGTTAGCACAGTAATGAGGCTGTAAATAGTACAAATAAATACAGCTATTAAATATAAAATGTATGAACTTATTCTCCTGTAAGTGACCAAGCAAACTGACCAGTTAGCTCTGAGTGCCTTTTCCCTCTTTTCAAAAGTAACTCAGTCCCCAGAGCAAAATGTTGGCTAGTGTTTTGATGGTGTAGCTCGCCAGCTACAGTAGTTTACCAAGTATTTGAGTAGTCACTATGTCAACAAGCCTCCAGAACTGAATGTTAAGCAGAGGTGTAGCCAAGATTATTTCACTCTGATGTAAACACAAATGTGCTGCTTGACACAAAATACTAAAAGTTGCTCACCATATTTGCTAATGAGTGTGCTACACTTGCTAGCCTGCCAGTGTTAATGCATTTGAGGTGTTCAGCTAGAGGGCATCACATGACAAGTTTGCTTCAGTGGGTCTTAGAAAACAGCTTAAATATGGTGGATAATTTCAGCCAGAAGTTAAATTCAAAGGAAAGAAGGCAGCAACACCCAATTTAAAACATGGAAAGTTCAGTGAACTCATGGTTGGTTTTGGCCTTTTCATGGCTAACACAAAGAACAAATGGTGTATTTTGAGCTGTATCCTTAAAAGGCAGGTTTCAACAAGTGTCTGTCAGTTTTAGTTAAAGCAGGCTAAAGTTAATGGAAGATGAGGCTATTTAAAAATATCTAATGAAAAACTGTAAGCAGTATTACACTAAATTTGTACGAAAAGGACAGAATCATCCAATAAAGTACGAGCACGGTCTTTAAATAACATTCCACTTTGAACATATATATGTTTTTTCCAACTTTCATGTAATCATGGTGTTTTTCTTTTCCTGTTGTGCTGATGTTTTCCCTTTGCACTGCTTTTTAGGTTTATATTAACACTCGATAATGAATATGCTCTGCTTTAAGAAAAATAAAACTGGTAATGTCATTGTTATTTGATGTATAGGATGTATAGGCTAAGTGTGCCAAGCTGTATGTAGTTGTACACAATGTATTTGTGTGTATTAAATAAAGATTATGTACACTAAGAAATCTTATTGAAGTTTTGGTGGTTATTATATAAGAAATTAATTACTGTACTCCATACAGTCTTGTGGTAGACATATTCCATTTACAACTTTTGACAGCTAAATCATTTTTTTAAATTTCAACTTTTAAGTCAATATAGAAAAACATTAAACACATTCGACTGTTTGTTTTGAAATATATGTAGTATATTGTACACAAGGCACTCAATGGACATTATTTAAAGTGTAACTTTTGAAAACTACTACTACACTACACTACTACAAATTTTATTTTATTTTTACTCTCAACTTTAAAGTCACCATGGCTGACTACACATACAACTGTATGACAATATAAATGATCAAATATGGGCCTTTGTGTAGAAAAGATGTTTTTTTTTAGATTTTTTTTTTCCAGTTAAACCAGGCATATCCAAAGTCTAGCCCACGGCCAGACCTGGCCTGTGGATTTTTACTGGCCCCAGGCATGTTGGTCAAAATAAACAATTTGTGGCCCATCACAGAATGTTGGTGAGTCAAGCAAGTTCACTTTGCATTGTTTTCCATTCACCTCGGCGTGCAGGGCTATCATACAGTTTGTAGACATGCACCAAGTAGGAACTATGTAGGCAGACCTAATGTGTTTTCATAAACAGATGGTAAACAAGCAAACAGACAGTGACCTAATAGCAGACTGCTAGGGAGCAGACATGGCCACAGCAAAGAAGTGTAAAGTTGTCAGCAGGGCTGCTGCTTTCAGGAGCGGTGAAAAGTTGAATACTTTCCCACTGAGAGATAAAACAGTTGCATTTGTCTCATTTGTAGCCTATAGGATTTTTTTTCTTTAATGACCCATATGATTCGAGAAGCAGCTGGCCCTCCAGGTATTTTCACATTATATAATCTGGCCTCCATTCAGTATAATTTGGACACCCCTGAGGTAAACAAAGACCTGACAGAGTGAAGCAGTAACCAAACCGTAACCTGGTTTAAACTGTAGGTGGCAGCAGAGCGTTATACTGTAGGTTTCTTCACATAGCAGCTGTCACAGCTCCTCATCACTCTGCAGACAGACGCTGCTCAAAGTGTCCACAGTTACATATATTAATGTGTTTAACTTTAAAGAAATGGGCACGTTATTATTTACATTTGATGCGGGGCATCTTGGGTTTCACTCAGTGTTTCTGACCATGAATCATCTTAAGAGAAAACCCAACCACACAGTTTGATGAGTCATGTTAAAGATTTTTTCCTGATGTGGCAGTAGGTTTCAGTTCCTGGGAAACGAAAGTCCAGGAGCATTATCACAGAACATCATCCAGATGCCCCGCCCTTGGCATCGCCTAGACTTCAGCAGGCTATGAATGTGAACACTTCTGCTGCATTATTTACAGCAAAGCAGATATTGCATCACTGACTTCATACCAGCGAATCCAAAGCAGCATCGAGATAAAAAATAAAAGAAAGAAAGAAGAATCAGTCGGCTAATATTTAGAGAACTTCTGAGTCGAGGAAACAGCTAAACAATGAGGTGAGTTCTGCATTTCATATCACTGTAGGAGTAGCCTAAATGATAATGTATTTGGCATTTTCTCAGAGTCCCAGAGCCCGAAATTTCAACATTATGAACTTTAAAAGTCGTTTAAATATTTCTCTCCCTCTTATTCTTTGCTGAGGTTTCTCAATATATTAGTTTGTCTTTTCCTTTCTTCCCTTTCAGCCAGGGCCAAAGGGATTTTAAAATTTGTATTTTCTTTATAATTGCTGTTCGATTGTGTTTTCAAAGTTTTATCCAGCATTTTATATGTGGGGTGATGGACTGAGAGTCTCATCCTACTCTCTAATGTGCTATGTGTGAGCTCAGTCCTGCGTGTTCTTTAATGAAGCAATAGGAGAAGATATTCGGTCTCAGTTAATGTAGTTTATTAAGCAGTAAAGGAATAAAATTACAGAGCTCTGGGTCTCAACTTCACGTCCCTGACGAACAACAAAGGTGTGTCAGTTCACGAAGTCTGACCTCCTGTCCTTTCCCTGACCCAGTATATTTGAGCGTAACAGAGTGTCATTGTGCACGCAAGGCGTTGTCCTCTTCTCATTGGCAGTTCCACTTCCTCCTTCACCACACCACGCCCCTGCCTCGTGTTAATCTGACTCCTTCCCGCTGGCGGTGGGGGCGTGGTTCCTGTTTTGAAAGACAAGAGAACAACACAACTCCCTACACGTGCTGTACCTTACTATCTGTATATCACTTTCTATTCTTTTTACCATATATGAAACTAATTATCTAAGCATTGCGGTATGTGCTCCTCAGACTTCATGTCTCTTCCTCTCCTGTACTTCTCCACTTCTGCAAAGCAAACACATTCAGATCAGCTGAAATCATCTCAGTATTCTCATTGTTCACACATCTAAAACTTATATAGTGAAACACAACTTATAGTAAAACACATAACATCATTCTATTCCCAACAGGGGCCCATGAGGGAAGTGAATGGACTGAAAAATGGGCCATATATAGGATTGTCCACAGGTTCCATATTGGCCCCATTCCAAGTGTCCACATGGGTGGGTTTACCCAAGTGGACCCCAGATAAGATGCCCAATTTGGGCCCATACCCACTTGGTACCCAGGTTGCCGCAGCATTCCCTACGTGGAGCTTGTTTGGGTGAAACCACCCATGTGGGCATTATTGGGTTATTTGTAGGGAGCGTCTTCCATGACCAACACAATACGGCATTGCACATGGTCGGAAGGACGGCATTGGTGCAGGCTCACTGTCAGAGGGTTATATACTTCACTTCCACTCCTCACTACTTGGTGAGGGATGGCACTCAATGTGGCAGACCCTCTGCGTAAATACGGAAATGGAGTGGAGGTGGATAGGGTTCAGGGTGTGGTTTGGGAAAGGCCATTTATCTCCTTGTATCATTACCCACCCTCTTTGCTGTGGGACACCATTTTCTGCTTTCATCATGAAGTCCGTCTCACTGAGTAGAATATGGTCTCTAGCCTGGGCTTCCCTGGAAATTTAAAGTTAACTGCAGCTTGAAGAGCACTTGTTTGCACTTCCCCTTATGTGATTAACCAAGCAGCAACCTCTGGGGCTGAAAATGAAGACATGTATCACTGCAGACACATTCTGTTAGCTTACACAAAACAACCATACATACTGTGCCCACCACTAGTACAAGACAAGCCCCCCAACATGACGGCTATCTAAACTGTGCTACAATGCTACACTGGAATGAATACATGAGACCAAATGTAGCAATAATCCACCGTAGATTCATAATATATAAAAACATGATTCACTTTATAAGTAACTAGATGTAACCCTTCCCTTTACCCGTATCCTAACCTTAACCTCCTCTCTTTGAACTTAATACTTGATAGCTAAATTTATCTAATCGCTCACTTAGCAGTAGCACAACAAGATGTAGCCTTCCCATGACCCTTACCCTAACCTTAACCACCACTCTTTTGACGTAAAATGCGTGAGGGATGAATTTTTAGAGAACTCACTCGTTTACATTTTATTAAGACTTAGGGGCTGCTTTGAATGACAGGCTGTCTGCCTATAGTGTCCTCGGCTTCTCAGTCAGAAGCCGTTCTCAGTCAGATCCACCCCTTGCTCCTTCACAGCTCCACCCTCTCGCCCAAATATAGTCACTACTGGCTCCAAAAAAGCAAGATGACGACGGCCGTAATGCCAAACTCAAGGCTTTGAAATGGGAGTCCACAAACCAGTGGGTGATATTACAGTTGCCCTGTCCATTGCTTTATACAGTCTATGGATCTAACATGCCAGCTAGGACCACTGACTCATCAAACCTTCTGATTTCATTTTGAAGTGGTGCAGCAACGAAAATACTCAGGACATAAAAATACATAGATACTGGAGTAAAACTAGAGTAAAAAATACTTTTACTCCAAAATATTAAAAAAAGGAATGAGAATAAAAGTATACATTTTATTTAGGAAATGTGGAGAACAAGTAAAAGTTGACTATGTTGTATGAAGTTCAAAACAGATACAAAAAAAACTTAACCACTGTAACAAAGTATTATTACTTTGTTACACTATCTACTGAGTATATTACATTAACAACAGTGGTGTAGGTATAGGCAATGCAGACAGTGCAGCTGCACTGGGGCCCACACTGAATGGGGATGTGTGACCCAAGCGAGTACAGTTGTCAAGGAGTGAGGCCCTACTGACATTGTGCTGCAATAGTTTTTTCCTCTAGAGACCTTCATACTATGTCCAAACCCAATTCTGTCATGGTGTCAAAAAAGTCAGTGGCAAGCAAACAATAACAAAATTATAGGCTTATTCTAAATAAACTATAAAAACTATAAATAAACTTTTGAAAAATATTCAAATTAATATTTTCAAATTGTTTTGGTATTTATGTCATATACATAAAATGATGATTGGTGAGTAATGTGTGTATGTTCAATCTTAAGTCTCTATTTGATCATGCAACTAGACAAAAAGACTCAAAATCTGTCAAGACTGATGAGCTGAGTGCACCAAGGCAGTCCATAGAGATTTGGGTTGGGAACCGGAGGGTCGCCTGTTCAAGTCCCCGTCCAGGCCAAGAAAGGGAACGTGGACTGGTAGCTGGAGAGGTGCCAGTGCACCTCCTGCAGGCACTGCCGAGGTGCCCCTACTCAGGCGCACTGAACCCCCCCCCCCCGCCCTCATTCAGGGCGCCTGAGCAAGGCAGCCCCCTCACTCTGACATCTCTCCACTTAGTGCATGTATAGGTCCTGTTTGTGCATGTGTGTGTTCGGACCTGTGTGTAATTGACAACAAGAATGAAAAAATGTAATTTCCCCTCGGGGATTATAAAGTATATATAAAAAAACAAACAAACAAAAAAGCAAGCCGTCATGCCATTCAAATACAAAAGCAGTTGAAGAAAAGACAGTAGAGAAAAGAACAGGAGGAGAAGGTTGCTAAATTATTCGTTTTTTTTTCTAACAGTTGCCAGCCCACGGACAAGGCCCCTCCTAGCAGCAGTCCAACAGTTCAGCATGCTTCAGGATCTACCCTGCTGCCCTCAGTGGTGTGTCAAGAAACATGCAGCAGGTAATGTTGGTCTTGATAATCGTAGTGTTGGGCTTACGTTTTAGATATAAATTTTAAGACAAGGGATGCGTGTTGTACATGTATTATGTAGGCTAAGCTGTAGGCTACAAGTAAATTAATGTCTCTACCAGGCGGATAGCCAGCCTATGAATTATTATGGTAAGCTAACTGATAGTTGAGTAGATGCTGGCTATTCCTAGCATTAGATAACCATTATATTTACATATTTTCAGTTGCGGGCCTAACCACTCAGAGACAGGGTCAGAACCAGGCAGTTTAGTTGCAGTCAGCCCCTCAAGTGGCCTGACTCAGGCAGGAACTCCTACTGGAGATGACAGAAGTCGGTCAGTGCCAGTCATACAGAACAAGAGCAGGAGGACCAGCCACAGCCACTTAAGCCTCACTCCACGGATAGAGGACATTTTGATGAAAATATTATATATAGAGCCTGCTGTAAAACATTATAACTACAGGGTCTTGTAAACCTAGGGGTCCTTTCCCCAAAAATCAGCATAATTGTTGTTTTTCTGAAGGGTTGTATCATAAAACTACAAAGGCCAGTATCAAACCACTGCATAGTTCACTTTGCTACTCTCCAAAATTGGATTGTGCATACTATGAGCCATGCTGGCTATTTGGAGACCACAGCTCACCTTGCTATAACAATGCATGGGTGACACGAGTCCTCTGAAATACATGTTGGAGCCTGTGTGGTGTATGAACATTGGAAACTCCATGGTCCCATTGATGCACAGCTGGAGAGGGACATGCGTGATGTAGTGCTCTTTTGGAGACAAGTGCTGGAGCGCATTGTGAATGTGACGCTAACACTGGCTTCTTGCAACTTAGCATTTCGGGGACAAGAGACATTTTTGGACAGCCAAACAGTGGACATTTTGTTGCCATTATCGAGATGCTGGCAAGCTATGACCCAGTGCTGCAAGAGCTGATCAAACCACCCAAGGGGTCAGTCAAATACCTCAGCCCCTCTATCCAAAATGAGCTCATATATATTTTGTCACAGTGAGTTCAGAAGGACATTACAGCTGAAATAAACCAAGCTCCATTTTTTTTTCAGTTATTATGGACACCACACAAGATCCGTCCAAGCGACATCAGCTTAATCAAGTGTACAGATATGTCACCATAGTAAGGAACCTGATGGACACAGCTATCAACGTCAAAGTAACTGAAGCTTTTCTGGAATTTGAGGAGGCATCTGACACATCTGCAAATGAGCTGGAAAACGAAATCCTCTGCAGTATTATGAAAAAATTAAAATATTTTTAAATGTCATGGGCAGTGCTATGACGGAGTGGCCAATATGAGTGGTGGTTATGTGGGAGTATAGGCCAGCATAAGGGAAAAGGAGCCACTTGGGACATATGTACACTGTGCGGCACATAACCTCAACGTAGTGCTGAATGATGTAGTAAAAAACATCTCAGAGGTGGCACAGTTTTATGACACCAAAGAACATTTGTATATATTTTTGGTCACAGCATTAAAAGGTAGGCCATGCTCACTGATACTGGCATTATCTCCACAGAGCTCTCAGCTCACTGAATGTAACACTGAAGCACCTATGCCTATATCTTTTAGATATGAGTCCATTGTTGCTATATGGTACAGATATGTGGATGTAATGAAAGCACTGACAAAAATATCTCTGACCAGTGACAAGGACGATGAGCATGGTGAAGCAGCGGGAAATAAGAAAAAAATGAGAAATGAGTTGTGACTCAAGGTTTTTGTACTAAAATGCCCAAAAAAGTCTGTGTTCATTTCAGCACCACACTGAAATGGACAGCTCCTTTGCTCACAGGTGTTTGTTGTCACTTTTTAGAACTTTGATTATCACAGCACTATCAACGGTTCTCATAACTTTCTCTGTGACCTCCGTACTTCACAAATACAATAGCCTAGGTAACACATTTTGTCTGTAAAATCCAACACATGGCTGGTAGTTGATACATATGCCTAACTGTGTGTCCGTATCTAAGTGTGAACGTATGATTGTGTACGTGTGTGCTTCGTAATTACAAAGCCCAAGGCCCATCATAATATCCTGCACTGGGGCCCTTTGTTACAAACTTGCATCACTGATCAACCTACTGATGATGTGTTTTAATATGTGTTATCTGTATTCTCCATCAGTGCTGCTCAGAGTCAAACAACACTGGAGTCCAAACTGAAGGCCCTGCAGTGCCACTTCACCTGGGATCTGGACCCTAGCAGGTCCAAACTTCTCCGCCTCAGGGACAAGCTGGAGGACATCGGCACCGAGGAGGGAAACAGCTGGCTGGGTCACATTTACAACCTGCGTGGGTTCATTCAGTACAAGCTGGGGTTTAAAGAAGATGCCCAGAGTTTGTTCAGCAAGGCTGCAGAGGCCTACCGCCAGATGAGAAACGCAGATGAAGGTCCCTGGTTAGTGGTGAACTATGGGAACCTGGCTTGGTTGCACCACCACGTGGGAGAACAAGCAGAGAGTCAGGCTTAACTGTCAAAGGTCGATGCCCTGATCAATAAATACCCATCTCCATCCCAGGATGAGCTCCATCCAGAGATCTGTGCTGAAAAAGCCTGGACCCTGATGAAGTTCAGCTCAGAACAAAAGCAGCTGGCTGCAGATTACTTTGAGAATGCCATTAGGATGCAGCCAGACATGGTGGAGTGGCACACCAGCCATGTCATAGGGTTAGTGGGTGCTTATAGGCACAACAACAAAAAACCTGGGGCTGACATCTTGGAGAAAATGAGAATCGCCAAGGAGCAGGATCCAGAGAACTTGTACCTCGCTGTTTTGTACCTTGAGAAATGTGCTAAGAAAGGAGACAGAATTGAAGATGAAGCACGTGAGTTAGCCACAAAGGTTTTGAGAAATCCTGTCAGCAGCTACAGCGGTACGAAAGCATTATTAAGGGTTTATGGAAACTATGTATCTATGGATGAGGCCATTGATTTGGCAGAGGAGGCTCTGGAAAAACATCCAGATGAACGTTATCTGAAGAGATGTGTTGCACTCTGCTACAAATGGAAGATCTTCGGAGACAAGCGCCCAAAGCAAAGCATGATAGACAGAGCAATCAGTCTCCACAAGGAGGTGATTTCTCTTTACCCTCATTATTCACTGATGAAGACCATATCACTTGCAAATATATACGCAAAGTCAAATCGGGAACAGGCTAAAGCTGAGCAGATATTCCAGGAACTGCTACAGAGGGATCTGGAACCTGCAGACAAACAACTGCTTTACACCTACTATGCAAAACATTTATACTTCAATCAAAAGAACTTTCAAAAGTCAATAAAATATAACATGAAGGCAGCAGCGATACCTTTCGTGAGAACAGTATCAGAGCTCTAGAGAAGGTTCAACACAAAGGCAGGAACCGAATGTGTAGAGAAATAGAGGAGTTTCTGGCAAATCTGCAAGAGTCATAGTGTTTATAACAGCACTGGCTCTACTCATCAGTTGGATTACACATACATTAGCAAAACTTGAAGGAAATATTTGGGCCAATTGCCAAAAAGATTAATTCTTGTGGGAAACTTAAACGTAAAATGAAACCAATCATGGCATGGCAGGAAAAAAAAATGGCCCAATTCAGTGCGAACTAGAGCAGATTTACTTGATCATGATTTAGTATGCAAGTTTTCAAAAGGTCCTTATCTTTCTCTTCTTCCTTATCTGTATTGCTATTGAAAAATAAATCTGAATCTTATGGATCACCTGCCAGTAACAAGTATTGTAAAAAATCACACACCTAAGTGCACACTGATTATGGAGTCCCTTTTGCAGGCTTTTTTGGGATTGTTGTGGCCTAAAATGCCTGATTTCATGGCAGGTTTTCTAAGAAATTGCAATGCATATTGCAGTGTATCAAAGGCTATTTTTCTCTTCTTTGCAATGAAACTCCTGGAGCTAGGGTTGCAGCTATATACCGGTTTAAGGTATACCATGAAAACTGACAATTGTCATACCGTATCCAATTGCTTATCTAAGATATTGAGAAAAAATGAAACTTGAAGGACAATCTCAACTATATTTTAGTCAATTTCAAAAGGGAGACTTACAGTACATACTTACATACATACTTATATTTTAAAAAATGGTTTCAAGTTTCAATTATAGTAATAAAACATTTGTTCAGCCAAAGACAACCCCTCTGATTTCATTCCTTTAAGGGTCATTCTGACTGATTTTTTTTTGTTGTTTTTTTTGATGATATATTCAAAATTGAAGGCATCTTGGTATGGACATTTTTGTATTGATGTGCTTCTATTTTTTTGCAGTGACCCGTCAGATATCTCTCTCCTCCCCGTCAGAGTGTGTGCATGTATTTGAGTGTAAGTGGATGATAGAAAGCAGGTTGTGTTTGCAGATTTTGATAAGATGTTTACTATATTTCTGTAAGTATTTCCCTTTGCTCTGTATTTTAGGTTTATATAAAAACATAATATGCTGTCTATATGAAATATATTCTGTTTCTGATTAGCAATGTAATAGTTGATTTGATGTATAACATGATGAATAATATTATTCTCAAATGCAACTGACTGCATGTACAGGAAGCATGTCAGGTCTGTGTCTCAGTTGTATACAACACTATTAAATAAACATTATAAACAGCAAGAAATCTTGAAGTTGTTTATTTTTTGGTGGTTACTGTACAAGAAGTTAATGTACTCCACACAATTTTGCAGTGTTGCACACAGGTTGCTGATGGACATTAATCCAATTAGCCTACAAGTTTTAAAAGCTACTGCAACATGCAATGTATTGTTTTACTTTCAACTTAAAAGTGTCACCACAGTGGCATGCAACAGTTTGGGCATCCCTGGTCAAATTTTTGTTTACTGTGAGTTGTAAGTAGAAGATGAACTGTTTTCCAAAAGGCATGAAGTTAAGATGACACATTTCTTCAATGTTTTAAACAAGATTACTTTTTAGTTTCAGTCTTTTACAGTTTTAAAACAACAAAAAAGGAATACGGGCCTGAAGCAAAAGTTTGGGCACCCAGCATGGTCAGTACTTAGTAGCACTGCTCTTTGGCAAGTATCACTGCCAGTGCCTCTAACAGTTTTTTGTAACCAGCTCAGATTCTTTCAGTTCTTGTTTGGGGGATTTCCACCCATTCTTCCTGCAAAGGGCTTCTAGCTCTGTGAGATTCTTGGGCTGTCTTGCATGCACTGCTCTTTTGAGGTCTATCCACAGAGTTTTAATGATGTTTAGGTTGGGGGACTGTGAGGGCCATGGGTAAACCTTCAGCTTGAGCCTCTTGATGTTGACCATTGTGAATCTTGAGGTGTGTTTCGGATTATTGTCCGGTTGTAAAAGCCATCCTCCTACAGATGGTGTGATATTTGCTTCCAGAATTTGCTAATGTTCCCCGTGCCACTGGCTGCAACACAAGCCCAAAGCATGATTGATCCACCCCTGTGTTTCACAGTTGGACAGGTGTTCTTTTTATGAAATTCTGCATCCTTTTCCTCCAAACTTACCTTTACTATGTAATTTAGTCCAAAAAGTTATATTTTAACTTCATCAGTCCAGAGGACTTATTTCCCAAACAGCATCAAGCCTATTTAGATGTTCCTTTGCAAATCTCTAAAGCTGAGTTTTGTGGTGAGGACACAGGGAAGGTTTTCCTCTGATGACTCTTCCATGAAGGTCATATTTGTACAGGTGTCACTGCACAATGCCTGCACGTCATCCCCTCTCTCTCCCCCTTTCCTATCACTCTTAAGTTGTACTATCAAATAAAGGCAAAAAAAGAAAGAAAGAAAGGAAATGATCAATGTGTCTAGAAAATAAATGTTTTTCAATTAAGCAGAACCCTGTCAGTGTGAAGTAGTCAGTGGTGTAGTGGTGGGTATACACAGGTATACTGTGTATACCCACCTCTTTTTGTGACTGTTTGTAGTATACCCACCTATCAGCCAAAAAGCCATTGGAGTATATAGGAGAGTATACACCCACCTCATCAACTACCACCACACCACTGCAAGTAGTAACCAAACAGTAACCTGGCTATAATGGTAGGTGGCAGCAGAGCGTTATAAAGCAGCTGTATCCAGATAACAGCTGTCCCAGCTCTTCAAACTGACACCCTGCACACAGCTGCAGCTCAAAATGTCAACATATATTAAATACATAGAGGTGTATAAAATAACACCTTCATATTTCCATGTGATATGTACACATGTACATATCATGCACTGTCACTGTCTATAAAAAATATATTTACACGTAGGCCCTACTTGTGTACATAAAAGCCCTGCCTATTCTTAATATTATAGCTACAAAAAGAAAATATGGTTTCCAACCTTTTATCAACTTAAAGGAAACTATGATTACAAAATTTGACGAGTCATGTTTTTTTTCCCAGGTAGGCCCTATGTGACTGTACGTTTCCAATCCTACTTTACACAGAAATGCCCCGCCTCTACAATTTGCTTTGACTTCAGTGTGACCATTTAAAGCTGCGTGCTCAGTAACATCGCATTACAGCAAAGCAAAAGCTGGACAATACTGACTTCAATGGGTTGTGGTGGCACAGCAGCAGATACAGTATCCCGTGCATAATAGCAGCAGGGTAAACAATCTGTCGCTAGTGTAGGTTTTGTCTTCTGGTATCCTCTGTGCAGGCACCTCACCACACAGTATTACTGCAAGAATGCCTTTATTTTCATTGCATGTAGCATACAACAAAATTTGTTCTTTCAAGCAGGCAAGCACACAAAAAAGTGGATAAGTAGCCTTTAAAGTATGAAATGTAAGTACATAAAACAGAGCAAAGTGCAGTGTGCTTGTGTGGCGAGGGGGTAGGTAAATTTTAGTGGGTTTGTATGGTGTAGTGGTGGTGTCAATAAGGGAAGAATAAGGAGTAAGCCAGACAACGGCACCTGGGGAGTTTCACCACAGGAAATACTTTAAGATACCTTAAAAACTGTTTAGAAGGTAGATGCTAAGGCACATCGGTTCATTAGTGATTAAGAGGCTGGGACGTGTTGTCACAATTAAAGCAGAAATTTTATTTATGATAATTAAAATAATAAAAGCAAAAAGCAGGGGCTGGAGCTGCTGAAAAGGAAGAAATAACCCAAAAATGCCGGTGGATAAAATTACTTTATTACAATTTATGGTAAAAAGAGGAGGACTATATATATATATATATGTATACAGTACAGGCCAAAAGTTTGGACACACCTTCTCATTCAATGCGTTTTCTTTATTTTCATGACTATTTACATTGTAGATTCTCACTGAAGGCATCAAAACTATGAATGAACACATGTGGAGTTATGTACTTAACAAAAAAAGGTGAAATAACTGAAAACATGTTTTATATTCTAGTTTCTTCAAAATAGCCACCCTTTGCTCTGATTACTGCTTTGCACACTCTTGGCATTCTCTCCATGAGCTTCAAGAGGTAGTCACCTGAAATGGTTTTCCAACAGTCTTGAAGGAGTTCCCAGAGGTGTTTAGCACTTGTTGGCCCCTTTGCCTTCACTCTGCGGTCCAGCTCACCCCAAACCATCTCGATTGGGTTCAGGTCCGGTGACTGTGGAGGCCAGGTCATCTGCCGCAGCACTCCATCACTCTCCTTCTTGGTCAAATAGCCCTTACACAGCCTGGAGGTGTGTTTGGGGTCATTGTCCTGTTGAAAAATAAATGATCGTCCAACTAAACGCAAACCGGATGGGATGGCATGTCGCTGCAGGATGCTGTGGTAGCCATGCTGGTTCAGTGTGCCTTCAATTTTGAATAAATCCCCAACAGTGTCACCAGCAAAACACCCCCACACCATCACACCTCCTCCTCCATGCTTCACAGTGGGAACCAGGCATGTGGAATCCATCCGTTCACCTTTTCTGCGTCTCACAAAGACACGGCGGTTGGAACCAAAGATCTCAAATTTGGACTCATCAGACCAAAGCACAGAATTTCCACTGGTCTAACGTCCATTCCTTGTGTTTCTTGGCCCAAACAAATCTCTTCTGCTTGTTGCCTCTCCTTAGCAGTGGTTTCCTAGCAGCTATTTGACCATGAAGGCCTGATTGGCGCAGTCTCCTCTTAACAGTTGTTCTAGAGATGGGTCTGCTGCTAGAACTCTGTGTGGCATTCATCTGGTCTCTGATCTGAGCTGCTGTTAACTTGCCATTTCTGAGGCTGGTGACTCGGATGAACTTATCCTCAGAAGCAGAGGTGACTCTTGGTCTTCCTTTCCTGGGTCGGTCCTCATGTGTGCCAGTTTCGTTGTAGCGCTTGATGGTTTTTGCGACTCCACTTGGGGACACATTTAAAGTTTTTGCAATTTTCCGGACTGACTGACCTTCATTTCTTAAAGTAATGATGGCCACTCGTTTTTCTTTAGTTAGCTGATTGGTTCTTGCCATAATATGAATTTTAACAGTTGTCCAATAGGGCTGTTGGCTGTGTATTAACCTGACTTCTGCACAACACAACTGATGGTCTCAACCCCATTGATAAAGCAAGAAATTCCACTAATTAACCCTGATAAGGCACACCTGTGAAGTGGAAACCATTTCAGGTGACTACCTCTTGAAGCTCATGGAGAGAATGCCAAGAGTGTGCAAAGCAGTAATCAGAGCAAAGGGTGGCTATTTTGAAGAAACTAGAATATAAAACATGTTTTCAGTTATTTCACCTTTTTTTGTTAAGTACATAACTCCACATGTGTTCATTCATAGTTTTGATGCCTTCAGTGAGAATCTACAATGTAAATAGTCATGAAAATAAAGAAAACGCATTGAATGAGAAGGTGTGTCCAAACTTTTGGCCTGTACTGTATATATATAAAAAGTAGCATTGCAATTCAGGTAAAATTGTACACAAAAACATGCTTTTGGCACATACAGCAAAGACAGAGCATGAGACAAGAAGAGGGAGAACAAAGTCAGAGTCAGGCCCAGGCTGCATTCACCCTACAAACATCTCCTGCATCACTGGGAGTATTCCCACCACACTTGTTAGAGCTCCCAACCGCTGCATCTGTGCACTAATGCTCGGTATCAGTGTTCTGGGTGGTTTTAATCACCCTCTGCAGAGCCCTCCTGTTCTGGACCCTGCACATCCCATGCCAGTCTCTATTGTTTCCATTCAGGTGTCTTTCTATTGCTCCTTTGTAAAAGTTAACAAGAACTTGGCACAGGAAGTTTCCTTCATAATTAATTAAAACTGTTCACTTGGTTGACCTCTGCTCCATTGATGTAGACAGGGGTGTGTGTCTTAGTCTCCTTTTTTCTAAAATCAACTGTCAGGTCCCTGGTTTTGCTGACATTGGTTTCTTATTTCCTTTCAGCCAGGGCCAACAACTATTTATACCACACTACCAGAAATATAATTTTGGAGAATTTGGAAAAATGCTAAATGTGTCAATAAAATATGCTCTATATTTTTAGTTCAGTTTTTTTTCTTTTTTGCCATATTGTATTTCCTCAGTGGTAGTTAAGGCTCTGCTTTCAGTCATCTTTCTTCAGTTCTGTGACGTCCCATCCATTTTTTCATTATTCTCTCCTCAGTTCTTCCCTTCCTTCCTCCCTTACTTTACTCTTTCTTCCCCCATCTGTCCTCCCATTCTTCTTTTACTTAATTTTTTTTCTTCATTACTTTTCTTCATTACTTTATGCGTTATTCTTCTGTTCTTTCCTCATCCATTCCATCCCTCACTCACTATTTTTTCATTTTACTTTTTTTACTCACTGTTTTGTTTCTACCTGGGAATGGCAGACCACTCCAGTCTGGTCTCCATTTTTAAAGAGGGGGACCGGAGACTGTTCGTCAATCATCTGGGGTATTACACTGTTTAGCCTCCCTGGGAAAGTTCATTCCAGTGTACTGGAAAGGAGACTCTGACCGCTTGTCAAATCCCAAAACCAGGAGGAGCAATTAGGATTCTATCTTGGCTGTGGAACAGTGGATGAGCTCTATACCATTACAGGGTTGTTGAGGGGGGTCATGGGAGTTTGCTCATCCAGTCTACATGTGTTTTGCGGACTTAGAGATGGGTTATGACTGTGTCCCCACAAAGTCCTGTTGTGGGTACTTCAGGAGGATGCAGAACCGGAGCCGTTGCTATGAGCCATCTGGTCTCTATATAGCCAGACTGAAGGCTAAGACTCTACTCTCATCAAAAGTCAAACACGTTCTCAGTTGGTGCTGGCCTCTGCAAGGGTTGACTCTTGTCACAAGTTCTGTTTGAAATCTTTATGGAGAGGATCTCAAGGTGCAGTCGGGGACCTAAAAATGACATCTCTGCTCTTTGCAGATTATGTGATTCTGTTATTTCATCAGAATGTGACCTTCAGCACACACTAGGGTGGTTTTCAGTCGAGAGTGAAGTCATAAGTGTCAGCAACTCCAAGTCTGAGGTCATGGGTCTCAAGTAAAGGAGTTCATGCATCTTTGGGCAAGTATAAAATAGAGCGTGAGATCTTCAGGCAGATTGATGTGGTGTCAGTGGTAATATGGGTGTTGTATCGGACCATCGATGAAACTGGAGCTACTGGCAACGCTTCAGGATCCCTTGTGAGAAACTGGAAAATGTTGCTGGGGAGAGGGAATGGATGGATGTTGTATTTCCCATCGTTAGTCTGTTCCTTTTTTAATACTGTTTACTTGCTGTCTATTCAGTGTTTCTTACTCCACTCCTTTCTTCCCTCTTTATTTCCTTCCCATACATTCATTGCTCCTTACTCAATTTTTCCATCCTTCTTTTTCTTTCTTCTTTCCTTGCTGTCCATCCAGTGCTCTTTACTCAATTTCAGTCTTCCTTACTTGCCTGCTCCCTTCCTCTACATGAGACAATAAATGGTTATCCGAACAAAGTACACTTCAGAGCATATTGTATGAATCTACTGATGCTGTGTTTTAATATTTGGTATTTATATTCTCCATCAGTGCTGCTCAGAGTCAAAGAACACTGGAGTCCAAACTGGAGGCCCTGCAGTGCCACTTCACCTGGGATCTGGACCCCAGCAGGTCCAAACTTCTCCACCTCAGGGACAATCTGGAGGACATCAGCACCGAGGAGGGAAACAGCTGGCTGGGTCATATTTACAATCTGCAGGGGTTCATTCAGTACAAGCTGGGGTTTAAAGAAGACGCCCAGCGTTTGTTCAGCAAGGCTGCAGAGGCCTTCTGCCAGTTGAGAAACGCAGATGAAGGTCCCTGGTTAGTGGTGAACTATGGGAACCTGGCTTGGCTGCACCACCACCTGGGAGAACAAGCAGAGAGTCAGGCTTACCTGTCAAAGGTTGATGCCCTGATCAATAAATACCCATCTCCATCCCAGGATGAGCTCCATCCAGAGATCTGTGCTGAAAAAGCCTGGACCCTGATGAAGTTCAGCGCAGAACAAAAGCAGCTGGCTGCAGATTACTTTGAGAAAGCCATCAGGATGCAGCCAGGCATGGTGGAGTGGAACACCAGCCATGTCTTAGGGTTAGTGGCTTTGAAGCACAGTGAAACAGGGCTGGAGGCTGACATCTTGGAGAAGATGAGACTGGCCAAGGAAAACGATCCAGAGAACTTGTACCTCGCTGTTCACTACCTTGAGAAATGTGCTGAGAATGGAGAAAGAATTGAAGATGAAGCACGTGAGTTAGCCAGAAAGGTTTTGAGAAATCCTGTCAGCAGCTCCAGTGGTATTAAACCATTATTACGGGTTTACAGACACTATGTATCTATTGATGAGGCCATTGATTTGGCAGAGGAGGCTCTGAAAAACCATCCAGATGAGCGTTATCTGAAGAGATGTGCTGCACTCTGCTACAAATGGAAGATCCTTTTCTTCAGGGACAGTCGCCCAAAGCAAAGCATGATAGACAGAGCAATCATTCTCCTTGAGGCGGTGATTTCTCTTTACCCTCATTCTTCACTTATGAAGAAATTAGACCTCGCAAATATTTATGTAAAGTCAAATAAAGACCAGGCTAAAGCTAAGCAGATATACAAAGAACTACTTAACCATCAACTCCTAAAAAGTGATGTGGAACCTGCAGACAAACAGTTGATTCACAACCACTATGCAAGGTATTTATACTTTCAGCGACAGGATAGGAAGGGGTCAATAAAGTATCACATTAAAGCAGCAGAAATACCACACCGATCCTCCGTGCGTGACAACAGCATTACAGTTCTGAGGAAAAATAAAGACAAAAGTGAAATGTGCAGAGAAATAGAAGAATGTCTGGCAAACCTGCAAGAGCCATAGTGTTTTTAAAAGCACTGGTTCGAATTCCAGAAAAATTGCAGGTAATTCATAAGTAAAAATAATCTGTACCTACATTATTGTTATTATATATTCATTAGGAAAAATGTTTTGTTTTTTCTGTTAGTCGGGTGGTGAAACATTACTCTGAACATGCAATTCATGATTAACTCATTAGTGATTTCATGGCTTACACAAAGAAAAAAAAGGTCAATTCTGTCTCTGCACTCTAGCACAGCTAATGGAAGACAGAGGCTGTTTAAAATATATAAAAACCTATACACTGTTATTGAAAAGTAAATTACATTTAATTAAAGTAGATTTGATCAGGTGTTTTCTTTTACTTACATAATCATGGTGTTTATTATATTACCGATGTGTTATTTTTCCCCCTTTGCACTGTATTTTATGTTTATGTAAGAACATAATACACTATATGTAAACTGCTTTGCTATATGCTTAGGTGTAGTAAAAAGTATGACTGATTGGTAATGTCATTGTTAATTTGTTGTATAACCTGACTATTATTGCCAGATGCAACTGATTGTTTGTATGCATGTCAAGCTATGTCTCAGTTGTACACAATACAAATACTATTAAGTTGTGCACACTGAGTTGTTTTTTTAGTGGTTATACTCACAGTACTGTACACTGGGTGCTGATTGACATCAGACTTTTGAAGCTACTGCTGACATTAAATTTGGAAATTTTCAGATAAGCAAAACAGTTTAATCATTTACTTTGTGGCTTCCAAAACATCCCAGTATTACTTGATATCATGTTTGAGATTTCAGGATTTCAGGTTCCCAAAAGATGATTCATTTCCACAAGACGCATTCCAAAATGATAACCACAAGATAGTAACTTGTTACCACCAGATGTGTTCTTATAGATAACTTGTGTCTACAAGATAATAACTTCTTTCCAAAAGATAACTTGTTCCCAAAGGATAAATTGTCTCCACAAGATAACTTATTTCCAAATGATAATAACTTGTGCACACAAGATGTGTTCCCACAAGATATTAACTTTGTTTCTATAAGATAATAACATGTTCCTACAAGATATTATTTTTTTTTTCCCCAAAAGATAATAACTTGTTATCACAGGACATTAAACTTGTTTCCACAGGGTAATAATTTGTTCCTACAAGAAATATAACTTGTTTCCAAAAGATAATAACTTGTGCACACAAGATACCTATTAACAAAGATATTAAACTTTCCATAAGATAATAACACTTGTGCACAAGATGATAACTTGCACAGAAAATTTAAAAAAAATCCCTTTTGGGACATTAGAGCCTCCACAGAAGCAATTTCTTTAAAAGACAAAACACCAAACACTGTGGGTCCTCATCTTCCTCAGGAATAAAGCAAACACAAAAACAAACAACTTAATAAACAAGGGTCTTTATTTCTCACAAATGTCTGGTCAGAGTGTGAAAGTCATTCTTAACATACACAAAGACATTTTCTACATTTACACAGATCCAAAGGTTATCATTTGATGGTCCTAATTATCTAAAAATGGGGAGTATTATTAGCTTTTGCTCTCAGAGGGTTTGAACCACAGAATGAGGCTGAAAGGCTACAGATGGAGTGAGTGATTAGATACTGTACATACACACTGCTGAAACCTGAGAGCTTTACATCGGTATATCTTACAAACAGGTCAGTGCTCCAAAATCTATAATAAAATTACTTGCAATACAAAATTTGAAACTCAAATGTTATACAAGTTTTAGAGGATGGATCTCTGACAGTGAAGTGGTAAAAAAAAATAAAGATCAGATAAAAAGGGAAAGGGAGATCACTCGTTTCCTCTCCGACTCTTCTTGTGACTCTTTTTTGAGCTCCTGTGATGTGAAAGAAAGAAAATTAAGCTGAATGGAAATAACTGAATAGATGGTGCTTTAGAAAACTCTACTAATGATTTTATCTAAAATTCTATGAAAACTCCATCTGCTAATAAGAATCATATGACACAATAAAAAATCTCCAGAAGTCTGCTGTAAAGATGTTTTGCTACAGACAAAAAAATATATCTGTGGCACAGCATATCAAAAACTGGCAAGTACTGAAAGTTGTTGTTGAATGTCTAGTCCAATTTTGTAAACCTAATGACTTTTTCTTTGAGCACACAGTTTCTGATTTAAATAAGTTGTTTTTAAGCAAAGTTATTGTCCAGCTGGGTTTAGACAACATTCAGTAACTTTGGCTGCTTTCTTTAAATGAAAGAAGTAGGGATGTCCCGATCCGATATTCGGATTGGTATCGGCCACCGATATTAGCAAAACACGTGCATCCGCATCGGATCGGACTGCATGGAAAAATGCCGATCCAAGAACTCAGTTTTTCATGGAGTCCGATCCAGGTTTTTCGGCCAGCCCAGCGCTCCGCAATTCAAGCAGTCTATTTGAGTGATCTGCTCCAGCACTTACTATCAATCCACCAGGCCAGCACGCAGACACACAGGAAACAGCAGCACCAGCTGATACTACTGCTACTACTAAATAACTGAAAAGGAAAGGCTGCATTGTTTGTTAAATGCCAACAATGTCTTGTGGTGTTAATCTATTTTTTATTTATTAGGGGGCCAAAGCACAAGTGTGTGGAGTGTTGCTGCTATTTTAATTTCAATGTTAGACATTTTAAAGATTTCTTGTGTTGATTTATTTTCTATTTATTAAGGGGCCAAAGCAAACCAGCTATATTTTTTATTTAATGTTAATGTTCAAGTTTAAAGTTTGTTTATTTAACCCTGTTAACAATAAACAGGTCAGTTTCTCATACCAACTGTTGTGGATCATTCTAACTAACCCGATTAAGTAGTTGTTCTTGTTAGAGTAATATCGCTTGATCAAACCTTTTCTAACATGACTGACAACAAAATAAGTGAATATGTATAATACGTGCTTGGGTCGAATCGGTATCGGCCAAAACTCAAGGCTGTAATATCAGTATCGGATCAGAAGTGAAAAAGCTGGATCGGGACATCCCTAGAAAGAAGGATTTTACAGAGAAACTATTTATTCATAATATGGTATTGAAACAAGGATGGTGTTGGCATCTAAACCCTTGTAAGTGGAAACATTAGCCAGCCACACACATGCAGATAAACACAAAAAAATATTTGGGAATTTCTTTATAAAAACACGTATGAATGCTTCAGTACCAATAATGGTAGGATTACTCACCTCTCTTGGGACTTTGAGTGGCTGCGATGTCTGTGGCTTCTGTGGTGACCTTGTTTTATAAAAACAAAGAAACAATACAATAAGTACCAAACAACTATCATCAAATTCTAATTTATAGTAAGAATTTCTTTTCTCCTCTGAATTAAGCATAAAGAAATTAAGTGTCATGAAGGTCTGTGTAAACTTTGATTTCATATAAAAGAAAATGACAGCAAAAGAAGATTAGGAATCTATCTGGTTGCTTCTGTGACACATATCATGAAATGTCCCAACAAGGAAAGTGCACTCAGTAGAGTGCAGATCTTCACAAGGTGGCTGCACTTTGGGCACACGGCCACCTGAGCTGATCGTGGCCACTCTAGACAAGGCACTCGGGGCAGCTGCACTGGATGTAATTGCCCTCCTGTCAGTCAAGATGGCGTCAAACATCCCAAAGCTGGATTTCTTTTCATCTCATATTGTGCCTTACTTTAGTGGATCATAACATATTCAAAATGAGACCAAACCTTTCTATGGATGTCATTTTTTAGCCATGACAAATGCCAAAATGGAGCAACAGAGTAGGTAAGGATTGTTAACAGCATAGCTGATTACAGGAAATTCTTTTTGTTCTATGCTTTTGTTGATAGGTTGATTGGTCCAGTAGTTTTTGAGATTAACTATGGCCAACCAGACAGCTACATACACACACATGCATACATGCACACACATGCATGATCCCCTCCAGGCTTACTCCTGGCAGAGATAATAATGAGATGAGGTAACAATAATTTCCTCAGATAAATATTCTCAACCATTAAAAAAGGCAGATTTATGTAAAAAACAATGACCATACGACTGTACAAAAAAAAGTTATTTGGCGCTAGAGTCTGTACAGTAGTAATCTGGAGGTGGAGCAAGTTCCCACCCAAACAACCGTTCAACCCAACTGCGAACAGTACCACTGAATGTGAGCACACAATTGATGCACACAGCTATAAATCATGACGCCACACCCCCTTTTATCAGCATCAAATAATAATAATAATGATAATAATTATTATTATTAGTATCAAATAACTAATGAAAACCAAATTTATCAAAAAATGCATCAACGAGATAAGAACTATCTAAAAATAACAGGAACAATCTTTGTTTTTTACATGTATTTGGATTTTTCATCCTGCCCACATGGAGGGGGTGGGGTTTATCACCTACGCTGCAGCCAGCCACCAGGGGGAGATCCAGATGTTTTTGGCTTTGCTTTTGGGGAGCTGGAATGATGTTCATTTTTATATGGAGTCAACGGTGAAAACTGGCAACAATAAAATCAATGTATGCATTTATAAATCCATAAAGATTATGTTGCGGTGGTGTTGCAGTGGACTACATTACTTTGAAAGAGTAGTACTAATTTGTTCTTATTTACATACACAGGGGAGGTAGAATATTATTAACACGTGTGACCATACCATGACCTCAACGCTAAAACATATAACTGAATTAATATCTCTATAACAATGTAAAATAAAAGCTCTTGAAGGCATCATAAAGTAGACTTCATAATATAACTAGTATACTGGATTGTATTAGATTGTAAAGTGACCACTGAATTTATATTCACTGACACCACTACTGCTGTCATACCCCGCTCTCTGCTATCAGCCCGCAACCACTCAGAGTGCTTTTACATGTCATATTCACTCATTAACACTTAAACTGCACAATATTAAAAAATAATGAGATTGCAACATTTTCTTTTTCAGTGATACAGACTGCAATATGAAAAAACAACAACACAAGAACAGAAATAATGAAGTAAGAAATAATAATTTCATTGAGTGTGCGCGTTCTTCTGAATTGATTTTGGAAGATGAAATTAGGGTATTTAATAGGTTGGTTGACTCACCATGACACCACCATTGTATTCATATAATGTTACTGGTCTTCTATCATCCAGGCTAAAGTCAGTGATCTGACATGCTGTGATATTAATAATGCGTGTTGCTTACCCTAAAATAAGGAGTAATTTGGGGTTTCTGTGGACTAGAGGCGCCCAGCATTGAACTGCTGATTTTCTGGTTAGTGGACGACATACCTGGGGATTTGGAGCGGTGACGTCTTTCTCTGGACCTGCTGCGGTGTCGGCGGGGGCTCTTGCTGCGATGGCGGTCTCTCCGGGGCGATGGGCTATGTGAGCACGTACAACAAAAGACCTCAATGAACTTAAGCTACAAATATTATGTTTAAAAGTAACAAGGATTTCAGCTAAAAGCAAACATACCTTCGCCTCTTTGGAGATCTGCTCCTCCTGGAAAAAAACAAACCCACCAAAGATTTGATTTAGAGCTGAATTTATGACTTTCTTTGCATACATATACATCTAACTGTGGAACATTATTATATACCGTCGGGGTGAGCGACTGCGTCTGTAACGAGGTGATGGAGAGCGACGAGGTCTGTCATTGTCACGGTAACCGTCACGGCGTCTGTGGGGCTCAGGGGTCTGGAGTCTCTCCGGCTGCAGGTGGAAATAACACAAACAAGATTTTAAAACCCGTGGAAATGCACCACACAATAAAAAAGTGATCCTGTTCTCTATAAAGTCAAATAAAGTTAATAGTTGGTTGAAATTATTTGTCTCCAGTGTAAATATTTAAAAGATGACATGACAACAATCTGTGTGATATTTTAAACCAACCAGGTGTGAGACAGCAGTAACACAGAGCCCTTTGGCTGCCTCTTTGGTCTCTACTCTGGTATAATCAGCCACCTGCACGTTATGATCTAACCACCTGAAGTTAGCGGATGACACCACCATCACATTAAAGAAGTTCAAACTGCCAAGTGCAATGATGGTGCTCTTTTACACTGAGCCCATCCTCATGTTGCTGCCACTGCTGAGGACAAGGGCAGACTGCACAGAGATCGGATTTCAGTGAGGTGTGGACAGCATGTAGGTGCAATACAGACAATTTATCTAATATACGGTAGGTAACCAAACACCAAGACAAATTCCTTGTAAGGGAAATTCTGATACTGACTCTGACCTAAGTTCACACTGTGACCATCATTACAAAGTACGGGCACTACAGGGAGTCTTATGGCCTGACTCATCTTTTATCTGAGGAAGGTCTGAGGGCTGGAACACTGTTAATAAAGTGAGTACAAGTGATCAACAGTGTCCAGGACTTTTTGAATTTCACTGCATAACAGGCTCAGGTTATTCTTGGTCACAACTGGTTCTACAAGAATTAGTGGACAAGTTGTGTGGTCATAGCTGGAGTAAAAGGTGTTGTAAAAAGCAACACTGGAAGGTGGAGAGAAAAAAAGAGCTAGACTGAAGCCTAATCTAGAAGTAGCGCAAATAGGAACTGAATTTACAAAAATCTGTAAAAGAAAATGTGAGTAAATCTGCGTTTCTGTTCGTGACCACTGCGCGAACATCTGAGGTTAGGCACCCCGAGATAAAAAGCTGGTGGCGGTAATTCTCCAGTTAGGTACATTTTAAGCACAGTAGAGGATCCGACGTTTCTGTTTGTGTCTTGTATTAATTCATGTATTAATGTGAGGTCCAATCACAGCATGAATGTTGGCTTGTCACTCAGCTAGGTTTGGAGAAAGGTGGTTTCAAAAGCTATCAAACTGTCCCACCAGCAGTCTGACAGAGGCACTTAAAGTGCTGCAGTGTACTGTACCTTGTACTGTACTCCAGGTGACACATTGCATGTACTGTTGCCCTATGAGTAAACTAGATAACAGAGAACAAAGAAGTAATATAAATAAGTATTTTGGTTTCAACACCATTGATAGAAAAATCATGAATAAAGGGAAGAAAGCTTTACTGTTACACCCTGTTAGGTTTTTACCCAGCAGAGGCACAGTCAGCGTTGCCAGGTGGGAAATGTAGGATTATCGTACCAGAGACTCAAAATTATCGTATTTTGAGGGAAATTATTGTACATCCGTCATAACCAAAATAACAATCCTACTGATGCGCTATAGGCAAATATAGTCACTCTTGTGTTTACTTTTTTTCCATTTTCCTTGCTTCTGTTTTTCCTCTTCTTCTTCTCCTCCTGTTTTGAATCTCATTCTCACTCGACTTCCTGACGGATCCTAGCGCCTCGTGGGGCGGGTACAGCTGACCATTCAGCCAATCGTGCTCATTGTTCAGAGACAAACGTCACCCATATCTCACGCTAAGCAAAGTGTGGTTGGCTGGAAACACGTCACATGGGAACAGATGCCTTCAGGGCTCACAAAAAAACTCCGGCATACTGATTACAACCACACATTCATGAAATGGTCAAATTATAGTACATTTGGCTTTTTTTGGGATTATTGATCATACATCGTACAGGGGGCCAAATTATCGAACAAATACGATAATTGACGTACACCTGGCAACGCTGGGCACAGTGAATAAACTAAATCCTATAATGCTGTTAAAGATTAAGCTTGGTTGACTGCAACTGAATATGTTTCAGTTTCATTTCTTACTAAACTGAACTGGTTTCACTCTGACAGAACCCTAGAAGCACACATAATTTACAGTTTCTCTACTTGTTCCACAACTGAAAGCCAAAAACCAGCACACGTATGGATAGGGATGTAAGGATACCAAAAACTCACGGTACAACATTATCACTATGAAATGTAAATGATGCAATAATTATCACAATATTTAAAAAACAAAGAAAAATAATTACTTATAAATATCCTATATTTACCGCTTTCTCATATATAGTCTATGGTCTAAGCCTGTCTCTGTAGTCAATCCTCAACTAGAATGATTGTGCCCTCTGCTGTTCAAACACAAAACAATACAATACAATTGGAGTTGGACACAGTGGAAACACCACCTTGATTAAGAATTCCATCATGTGAAAGACTACAGTGCAAATTGGAAAGATACTGAAAGGACAGTAGCAGACATCCCAGTCCAGGCCCTTATTGGCAATATTAATCTAACAAAGACATTACAAGACTCTTCTCAAGAAGTTTCCACACACATAATATTTGGTTTAACCTGGTAATACAATACAAAATAGAAACTGCTGAGCTGGTTTGCCTACACTAATAGATTTAAACCAAGTCTGAACGATCAGAACTTCAGAATTTGGGAGAAAAGGGGGATTATAGCAGTGTGCAAAATAATTCAGAATGGAAATATAATGCATTTTTGGGATTTAAAAGAGAGTTACGGATTTGAAAATGAAAAATGACAAGATTCAAGGTGATTTTGTGGCTATACCAAAATCAAAGATAATGTAAGGCCTTCTCTTCTACGTACATCAAGACAAAACGGGAGAGGGAATTGAACATTGAAATCACAACTAAAGAACGGCTTAATATGTGCAAAACACAACAAACCACTACAAACTCAAAAACATGGAGGGAATTTAGGTGAAGAGTAAAACAACTGGGTCACAACAACGATGATGGCGAATATGTGGGAATAGAGGCAAACCACACACATATTTTTGGGGAATGTCACAAGCTACACCAATTCTGGGAAAATGTGAATGTTACAATTATAGAAATTCTGGGATATGCAAGACCTAATTGCTGCAAAGGTATGTACCTTGAAAATATACAAATGACTGTGTCATGGATTATGATGGATACTTGACCAAGATATTATTGATTCCCCTCCTGAGGAACAATGGTTGTAAATCATGAGAGATTTGTGCTATGGAAAAAGAAACCTATCAGCTTAGAGTGAGAGAAGATGTTTTTGTTAGCAAATGGACGAAATGGATAATTTATGACAGAGGAAAAACATCTGGACTAACTGATACATTAACTTCAAGATACTGGATATAAATGCCTTTCTTTGAAAATGGACATATGTAACCATGACTGTTCTATTTTTCACCCTTCATGCTCAGTTGTTCCCTTTACCTTTCTGACTGTGGAAAGAATGTTGTAAGTTGTTATAAATGACACTTACGGTTGTATACAAAACTAAAACTCAATAAACATTAAAGTATATAAAAAAGGAATTCCATCATGTTATTTCCATGGATTAGGAAAGTTCAACCAATATTAGTGAACATGAGCTGCTCTCTCTCAAAACTAGAAACCAGAGAAGTAAGCCACAAACTTGTGATGTCATAGGGTGTAAAGTCTGGAGCTGCTCTATAGACAATGAATAGGAGCCTGATTTTGTGGACCCATAGTTTGTTTTATTTTTTATTTCCAATTGAGCTTCATTCTATTGTAGTGCTCTCAGTTCTGAAACAGAAAATGTACCCATATACCCAAAACATTTCCCCGGGTGCTCACGGTGTCATCTATAACATCTTTCCCCATTCATTGTCTGTGGAGCAGCTCCAGATTTTATACCCTACCATTAACAAATGTGAGTTTAAGCAATCTAGTTTTTGGATTTGGGAAAAAGTTGTTCTTGTTCACTAAAATTCTTTAACTGTCTTAGACCATAGGAATAATAGGCATGAATTCTGAAAATAGGTGACGTTCCCAGGGATTTGGACAATTATTATAATTTATAAATGCATAACACACACAATCAACAGGAAACAATTACATGACTGAAACGATTCTAATCAGGGCTGCATGCAAAAAGTCATAGTGTGATTGTTTTGACAGATACAGGGATTGTGGAATAAGTTGTGATTTCAGAAGGAATGGTAATTTTTGCATTTCGTTGTCACTGAAAAAAATATAAAAATGAAGATGGTGTGGTTTTTGCTGGTGTCTGTACCAAAGAAGTATATTATGATTTCTAGGCCATGGAATCTCTGTGGCACCGCAATGCTTCATTTATACTGATATGTTGTGAGACATATTACCGCAGGACATAACCATGTAATATGTGGTAGATTTTGTTATAGTCCCACAATGATATCAAGACATTTTCTATTACAATATTGTGCAATTCGATATATTGTTACATCCCTACTTGTGTATGACCATATCTGGCATTTTTAATTCATCATGGCAAACCAGTTTTCATATGTTGCTCCACCAGATTCATTTAACGTTTGTCTTACCTTTTCTTCTTCCTCATCTTCTTCTTCACTGCTTTCCACCTCATCTAGATCTTCCTCCAGAGCGCTGATACGTGGGTCTAACATCTCAGCCTCTTCAAGGACATGTCTCTTCTATCACACACACACACACACACACACACACACAAAATTGATGTAGGCACTTCAATCAAGCTGTGTGTGACAATCAGACTTGACATAAACTTACCTGAAGTCGAGGCAGAATGATGTCACACATTCTCTCGGCGTGAAGAAGCTCGTCAATGAATTCGTCCACGTGCATCAACTCAAACTCTAAAACAAGAGGAAAAAGATGAGGAGGAAGAAAAGCAAGCTGAATGATTTCATCGTACATTCACATTTGAGTTCAGCCTACGTCTCTAAGCGCTAACTGGAATTTAATTTGGGCCCAAAAATGAATTAAATTTAAAAATTAATTTAAATATTAGCCCAGGTGTTTAATACAAATGATAAAGCTTTTACTGAACTGGACAGCATGTTTCATCTTAAATGAAATATCAAGCTAAACTTTTCAGTTCTGTGGGTCAATCACATGCCTTATTTCAAAAGCCTAGTGGGAAAGAACTCCTAAAAATACATTGTCTCATTTGTTGTTTAATTTATGTCTTCATGTCAAAGACTGATGATCCATTCTAGTGTCCTTTTAGGGTAGTAATTTGTAAATGAAAACAGTCCCCTCTGCATTTTCCTGTTAAAAACTCATTTGACTGAGTGCCTGCAGTCTTCCTCGCAATACAACCAGTTTACAGGAAAGAGGCTGAATATCCAAACTATAATTGCTTCATAAACCCAGGAGGGATTAATCAAGGCGTATCTTGTCTTAATATCCAGAATTGAAACCCTTGATTGTTATATTGTTTGTTTACCTCTGCGTACAGAGCACCCAGATTCTGTTCTTGTTGGCTTGAAAACGGACTAACAGGAGGCACAGGAAACTACTGCTTTGATACCAGGATATGCATCGTGGAAGCATTATAGAAGTCATTTTACTGTGCTGGTTCAAGGCCAGATATTGTGCAGTTATAGAATAGAATAGTACTTTATTGTCGTTAAACAAGTACAACAAAATTAAGACAGGCATCTTTCTTGTATACATAAAAACAGTATAAACAGACATAAAAACACCAATGGCTAATAAATAAATAGCAGTGGTTACTCAATAAATAAATAGACACCAATTGCTGATAAATAAAAGTCCACGTCCTGGTACTGAGTGATAAAGTGCAGCGTGCCTGTGTGTATGAGAATCAGTGCAAGTTATTGTAGTTATGCCGCCTCACTAGTCTTTATAAAAAGGTACAATCACACATTTGGAGGTATAATGCTGTCATTGTTTGGTTCTGTGTCAAAATGCAACGGTGGTGTAAAGAAGGGACTACGTAAAGGCCCTATGGTGCAATCTATGTGTAAAAAGGGCTTCTGTTGCCGAGTGATTAAAATGGGCAACCCATGTACAAAGGCACTGTCCTTGCCGCAGCAGCCGTGGGTTCCATTTCAGCCCGCAGCCCTTTTGGCAAAAGCCAAACAAAAGGGCTAAAATTTAACTCAGCAACATCAACTATGCTTACTGTACTATGAGCTGTTAAATCAAAAACTCACCTCCGTTTCTGTTCTGACTCTTGACTTTTCTGTAATCATTGTACAGCGGTTCCAAGTATTTGTAGCAATCCACTGCAGTGCCAGTTAACCTCATGTACATCGCTCCAAGTAAACGAACATATCTACAAAAAAACAAACCAAAAAAAACCCAGAGAGAACATGGTGACATGGTGGAAAAAGATCCACAACAAACCCAGAGAGAGAGTAAGTAGATAACATGTTAGGCTGACGCATACATCTGTTGACTAAATAGTTCATGGAAAACACCTTCTCTCCATTTTTGTCCTGACTGTCTTAAAGGCTTTAATGGTTTCTAGAAGTTCTTATTGGAGAACACAGCACCAGTATTCCCATTATTCTCTCCCTGGATTGGGATAGAAACTCACTTGAAATCTTCATTTTTTATGAACTCAACGATGATGTCTTTTTCAGGCTGAATCTGCAGCATCTTCAAAGTGAGGCAGAGGAAAGGAGTGGGCTTGATGTTTCCTCCAAAAACTCCACCAACAAATTTCAACTCCATGGCTTTGTCAACCACCAGCTCAGCTGTGGATGACACAAGATGCACACACGTCATTCAACAACAGTCACTGTAAAATACAAAAGTACAAAACACACACATACAAAGATGGAGGCTCATTGTTCTCTATAATGTATTTGTACAATTAAGCATCAAGATTTTTCTTCACTGAAACTCAAAAGGAAGTCCACAACGGTATGTGAACAGCATGTCGAAGGACTTCCAAGTAGGTAACATGAAAACAATAAACCCCACCTGTACCTGTAAAAAAAATTACAGAGGGCTGGAATCCTCCGGGGTGCCTGTAGATTTGTTAGCCGACAGGAAGCTAACGTTAGCTCGCTGGCTAACATGCTACTCACCGGTCAGACCGAAGCACTCCTCCTTCCAGTATTTAGACTCGTATATTCGAGTCCGGATGATTTTCTCCACCAGATACTGCGGGTTGGTCCCGTGTATACTGTTAGCATCTTTAACAGTTCTGTTTGCCATCGGAATGAAGAATAAGCGACTCTACTAGCATGGACACAACAGCAACGACCTGCGAGCCAACGCCGGAAACTTAATCAATACTTCCGGTTCGTGTTTTTTTCCCCCAGAATAAAAGTGTCATTCTTACAATCGGTCTCCAGGTGTCGCTGTGGGGCGGCGTAAGGAGCACACACACTAAAAACTGAGCAGAGTTCAAACTTTGTTTTGTTCAAACAAATAACATTAAAAACTGATGTTCAGGGAGAGACAAAAGTACAGGGGAAAAAAGCACGCTGTCATTTAATCAAATGGAAAAAGAGCAGGAAGATATGACATGTTAAAATTTAAAGACTAAATCCTGGAATTGAAAAAAGCCTTGTTTTTTTCCCACTCACTTGTGCGTTCATGCCGACAGTTTATTTTGGCAAAATTTTAGATTAGACTTGGAATGGTGATTTTAATGAAATATCAGTACTTTAAGCTCCGATTTATTTATGTTTTTGTTTCTGACAGAAGCATTTGTCGCAAATGATGTGTCCAAGGACCAAATAAATTTGAAAATCCAGTGACAGTTTTCGTTCTTTTTTTAGTAGTTTCTGGCCATGATTAATGGCTGTTTTATTAAAAATTGGTAAATACAGAACACAATATTTAATTTTGTGTGACCTTCCCCTAAGCAAAAATAAATTAAAACAAACACAAGTCCCTCCCCAGTGCTTTAAAATGGTAGATTATGAGGCTGTCTCAGTCACTTGCTTCATTTCAGTCTCTTCTAAAAACATACTTTTATCGGAAAGCATATGCTGAGTAACGATTTTATTGCCCATTTATTTTCTTGATTTTAGTTTTGGACTTTTTATTTTATCTTTTAATTTGATGACATTTTGTGACAATTGTTTGTTTAATAATGAAATGTGTTTTATTGTACATATAGTTATATA